GAATAAAAAGTTTTAATTTAATAGAATTATAATTCATGTTAACACTCTTAGAATTCATAAAAAATCATTACTTAAGGTTTCCAAAATTTGATATATTTTAAGGACTTATATTCAAGTGAAAATATTTGTATTTCAATAAAATTAAAGAGACATCTTTATTATAATAACAAATATTAATTTTTTTGGGAATAATTAAAAAATTATCATCATATTGATTATAAAATAATTAAATATAGGAATTAATATAATTTTAAAAAGGAACAATTTAATAATTTTTTTAACCACTAGAAATCATTATTGAGATGCCAACATAATAATACTTTTAGAAAGGATAATGTAGTTTGGATAAACACTGATTTAGATTGCGTAATTCATAGGAACCTTATGTTTTCATTCAGGTCTCTTGATTTATAATGATGGGTTTATAAATAATAAAATCATATAAATGCGTTTTTTATATAATTATGATAGTTAGATTTCAAATATATTTTATTAATACAAAATTGTAAAAAATACATATTATTATTAAAATAATTGCATTATGTTTTTTATTTTTATAATAATTATGGTTTCAAATATTTATTAAATTTCAAATTTATTATTACCACGAAACCCTAATTTAATTAGTAAACATCAAATTTAAATTCTAATATATGGGCAATCTAAAGTATGTTTAAATCTATATATATCTTAATTATAAAAATAAAAAGATGAAAGACTCTTATAATGACAATAGTATATGTACATTTTGTTTGTTCATCCTTCATAACAATTAGCTTCATTTTATTTAGAAGTATATACTAAACTTAAAGAAAGGAGAATGGGTTTGATTTATATTATAATTCTCCAATTAGTTATGATTTTAAAAAGTTAAGATTCAAATGGAAAATGTTTGGTTTGTCCAAATAATTGTGGAGCATGTTTAGAAAGGACAAATGATATAATTAACTACATTAATCCTTATTTTATTCCTACTCTCACAAACCTCTAATATACACGAATAATTTAATTAGAGTCTTCTGAGGGTAAATACTTTAATGATCATTTATTATAAACTGTTACTTTTTGTGAAACATATGAGAAATGCTATCATTAAGTTATTTTTGTTTAAAACATTTACTACTCTTAAGGTCAATTTAATAAAATTGCAGATAGTTTGTAAGGAAAAACTTTAAAGGGAGAGGTTCATAAAATTCCATTAGACTCACAACTTTTTCAACAATTAAATAAGATGTCTTTACTGTTAAAATTGTTAACATAAAATTTATTGGGCTATTGTACCTTACTACTTTAACTTTAGAGAGAGATTTAATTTTGAGCAACTTTGCAACAATTACTATTAAAAATATCAAATTTGTTAATGGTGAAAACTTTCCAGACATTATTTTCAAAAAGACAGAAATATTAGAATTTCAAGATTGTATTTTTACTAGTACTAAAAATATAATATGTTTGGCTATAGGTTCTTTTCTTAACTTTCTTTTTAAAAATTCAAAATCATTAATTTAATAACAGAAAACCTAATATTTTATTCAAATAATATTTTTCGATTTAACTATGTTTAGTTGGATATTTATAATTTAAAGATAATCAATTCGCATTTTTATGATTCTATGATATTTTTGTATCAGCTAGATACAAGCTTTGACATTGTGATGAAATCTATAAACATCTCTAATACAACATTTGAAGATGATTAGCATTTTATGATAACATATGAAAAAACTCAAGACTATAGAAATATATTGATATAGGATGTTATGCTAAAAACTTTAATCTTAAAGGGTTAATTATTTTAGATAATATTTTATCATAAAGCTCAAGTTTTATAGATTGTAATAGCTTTGAATTGCAGGATACATATATAAGCAATACAAATATTTCTAAAAGCACAATATTTTGTAATAATGATTATTTTTCATATGGATTGCAAATGTCAATTATAGTAATTGTTTATAATATTTTTATGTTTAAGCCGCTTAATATATTAATTGCACCATTGAAAATGTTTATTATAATAATCAGCAAGCCATTATAAAATTAATCTCAAAAGATTAGAGTTTAACATTAAATGGGATCACATTTACATAATCATTTTTATTTCTCTCCAAAACACTTCATTAATCAGTTGATTGCATGCTAAAATATGCCTATGAGACATGTTTTTTTATTTATACATAGGAGGGTATTAGAATATCAAAATCAATAATTTAGTTTTGTCCAATTCTATTACCGATAATAATCCTTTTATAATTATTAAAGCTTATAGTTAGAAGGAGAAAATATAAAATGCATTCAGAATAGTAAATTTGAATCAAACATATAAATTATAACAAAAAGAAATACAGTTACTTCGATTATATCATTATTTTCTGAATAAAATTGCAAAATAAGCTTAGAAAATGTAGTATTTAATAACAATCATTTAAATTAATACATTTAAGATTTAACTAGATAATCTGCATCTACTTTATTATTCTAATTATAATAGGGTGATGTTTAAATATCTAATACAGTTTTCAAATAAAATCTCTTTACAAATTCAACTGAATTAAATAAATGAATGTTAAATTTTAGAACAATCAGTTTTTTTAATAACAATATTTTGCAAATTTTGCTTTTAATTAAGAATCTATTATTATTTGAAGAATAAGAATATAGTGATTGAATGAGTCTAATTTAAGCATTTCCAATTACATCAAAAGGTGGAAATGGTTTAATAATTGCGAATACAATATCAATAGATAAGACATCAGTCTATAATTCTTTTTCATTATATGGAGGTTGTTTTTTTAGTAGCTCAAGATATTGTCATTAAGACAATATTCAATAATATTTAATTTCTTGTATTATTATACAATACAGGTACTATCCATATTTAGAACTCAAGCTTTTTTAATACATTAACTAGTTTATCAATTTCAATCATAGTTTTGAGGTTTAAGGATTAAATTTTGATTCTATTATATTTGTTTCTTGTGAATATGGTATCTTAAGAATTAAGGGTATAATTTAATCATAAATTGAAAACATCCTGTTTAATAATATTAGCATCTTTAACTGTTAATGTGGATAAACAAGATGCTTTTCATTAATATAATCAGAGGATGAATCTTTTTTAAGAAGCGATTTACTATTACCTAATAGAAGAATTTTTCAAAAATATGATTACACAAAATTAATATAAAAGTTAGAAAATTAAGCTAGGATAGTTAATAGAAGATTTGTGAATAACAATGTAACATATGGAGGATCACTTTTAACTGTTAAAAAAAAAATACAATAATTCATAATTGTTTATTTTAATAGAGGGGAAATAGGAGGGGCAATTTATTTCTATTCAAATGAATTTTCAATGATGATATTTAATAGTCAAATAATTGAAAATGAGGTTTCAATTGCTGGAGGATTGTATTTGAATAAATAGTAACTTCAGGAGACATTTCTATTAGAAATATTTTTATCTGATAATAATTCAACATTTTTTGGATCAGATATTTTTGAGAATCCAATATCTTTGACAATATCTGTGGATGGAGGGTAAACTTTTTTAACAAAAATTTAAGTAAAAGAAAATCCAACCATGATTGTTAAAAAAAAAGGTAATCACACCTTATTAGATTTTGGGTTCATCTGAATAAGTAAAATATTTAACTTTTACTTCTGGTAGATAAATATTTTCTTACGAATACTTTGATTTATTTCAATAGGAGTATATCCCATATAATCTAACATTTCGTATTATCGCACTTAACAAATATAATAAATAGTCAAGAGAAAAAATTAGGTGGAAGTACTTGCACTTTGACTCCTATAATAATCAAAACTTCTAATGAAGAAACAATATAAGGATTAGTTGGATATTTATCATACAATAATGTGAAATTTAATGATAACACTGGTGATTACAATTTAGATGATTTAATTATCTATTTCAATCCAACATATAAGAATGATATTGTCTTAAGATTAAATATATAGTGTAAACATTATCTAAATTCCATAATATGAAATTACTCCTCCTTATTTAATTAAGAATTATATAACAAATTATAATTTATTAGTAGATATCAAGACTTTCTAATGTTAATTAGGAGAATTATGCAACTTCAGGAGGTTGTATATTGTGTGATGTAAGTTAAGGCCAGTATTAAGTAAAATAAGATGTATTGAGTTGCAATTATAAGGATGATTAAAAAATTAAATCAATAAAATCTTCAATGATTGAATTAAGATAAAATTATTGGATAGCATATTAATATTATTACAACTTGATTGAAAATTGTGAGGGAGGATGGTTAACAGGAGATGAATCTTGTATAATCCGACATATTGGGGCTTTGTGTGAGTAATGTGACTTATATAATACTCAAGGATATGGGTCATACTCTTCAAGTTCTATATATATTCATGTGGAAGCTGTTAAGAAATTTCTAGAAATGTATTAACTATAGTTTTCATAAGTATTTTGATACTTATTTCAATTTTGATATCTGTAAGTAGCACAGTTGAGATGATTGAAAATTTATTATTGGAACTCGATTAAAATCACTAGGAGTGACTGTTGTTATAAAATAAGTTTCTACTGCAGTTTTTAATTAATGTATTCACAAACTATCTATAAATTATTTCCACTATTAGTACATTCTAATTGTAAGTATCTTCAGGATTGACATCAGTTGTTAATAATGTTGGAAATCCAATTGAATCAATGGCATATTTACTTGATTGTTTTTTAATCAACTTTTCAGATATTCTAATTATATACTTTAAAGTTATTTGGATTCTAATTATGGTATCTTCATATCTTACAGTATTTTTCACTTTAGGTGGAATAGCAATTTTGTTGAATTCCATAAGGTTTAGGTTTTCATATATTGCAACAGCTCTTATTTATGTTTTTATCTAAATGCAACCCACTTTTATTGAAAGTTTAATCTCCTTAATATCCTATAGAGTAATTTTAGATGAGTATTGGATACAAGATAATGTTGCCTATCGTTATGATACATATCAACACTTTAAACGGTTGTTAGGCTTTTGTTTCCCCTTATTGTTATTTTTTGGAGTCATTATGCCTGTTTATTTTTGGTATGGAATAAGAAAAAATCCACATCGTTTAGATGTTACTTAAGTGAGATAAATTTTGGGGTTACCTTTATAATGAATATAAATTACATGCTTATTATTGGGAAACAATCAAGATTCTTTAAAAAGATTTAATCATAATTATATTAGCTTACTATTAGGATCACATTCCTATTAAGCATCCCTTGCATTTTTAGTATTATTTGGATATAGTTTTCTAACTACTGTTTAAAAACCTTATATTTCAGGTGATCTCAATTACTTAGACACCAAATCAACTGTTGCTTGTGCTGTATCAATCACATTAACCAGTTCTATTTACACAGCTTAATAATCAAATTTATAGGAAAGAGTTTGGCCATTCTATATAATTATTGGGATTTTAAATGCTTCAGGCGAAATTCTATTTTATTATTATTTTAGATTTTTCTATTATATTTTAGTATTCATTATTTTTATATTTATTATTGTTCATATTATTTATAAAAGCGACTATTTGAAATAATCCATATTTATTTATAGACCATCTTATTTATATAATAAAATTTATCAAGAAATTATTTAAATTTTGTTTAAAAAATGTTAATTTCATCTAAATTCTAAGTAAGAAATCATTTTCTATATACATAATTCTCTTTATGTTTTCATCCCGGATTTAAATAATTTGATTTAATTTACATTTTCAGATAAAAACTAACGTTGATTATTAGAGCATAATTTAGCAAACATTTATTAAAACTTCTGTATTTAATATATATGAATATTAGTAAGTTTTCAATAAATACTAATGATTTTTTTCAATAGTTACTTTTTTCTAAACTAAGCAATTATAATATTAAAATTATGACTGAGTATTAAGATTAAATGTAACTTGGGAAAATTTGATAATCACAAGAAGAAATTACAAACATATATGCTAAATTTAAATATTTCACTTTAAAATTTTACTGTAATATAATACCAATCAAAAAAAATAATTCATGATGAATGTCAGAATATATTAAAATTCCAATTAGGTGAATTAATAATACCACTTTGTTGATCATTTATAATGAACTTAATAATTAATATAAATTATTTATTGCTATAAAATTTATAAGTTAAAGTGTAATAGGTAATGTTTATAAATAATAATTAAATGAATTAATCATCACTTAAGTCTTTTGATTAGATATATAATAGTCATTTGAAATCAATCCATTGATTAGAAAAAAATATTTAATTTTAAAATGCCACCAATGTCAGAATTACTATCTTATTTTTTATCCTTTGATTTTAATTCAAAATTCTTGCTTTTATTGGAATAATTAAACAATAATGAATATAAAATTTAAATAAAAAGAAGGAATATTCTTAAGGATTTACATTTATTTTTCATTTTGACATTTTTTAATATTCTTGGGGGGAATGTTAAGTGTCCAATAAAAGAAAGAAAAATAATAATATCAAACAATTTGTCTATATATGTTATCCATTAAAAGATTATAAAACATTATAATTAAATTTGATATAATGATGAGACTATTATTTTTTATTTTTTTACAAATATACATTACTAAAGGATAAGAAACTTGGGAAACCCTTTACACAAGTTTTCAATCTGATGACCAAAATGATGCAAATGGTTATTTTTATCATAAATTATTTAGGTTGGATATTAAGCAATAATTATAATGAAAAAATATTTACTACTTGTAAATCCTCTTTATTATTTGGAGGATATAATGCATTTGGGACGAATACAATAGTATCAAAGTAATTTAATATGCCTCCTCATTATAAAATAAATATTACCTTTGAATTCTGGAAGTATTGCTAAATAAAATATAGAATCGATTGTTGGGATACTGAATTTGCTTATATAATTACAGAGGATACATTTTGGTCAAGGAGTTATACTTGTACACAAGGGGAATAATAATGTGGAGGCGCAGTAGGCTGGGATGAATATATTTAATCAATTACTTTTGAGATGAATCATTACTAAGAATCTTTAATATTTATAGTGACTACAAATCTGGATGGTACACCAAATGATGTAAAACTTAATTAATATAAAAGGAAAGTTGGGGAATGAGAGGTTTTTCACTTTCAATTTTAAGATGTCCTTAAGGTTGTATATATTGTTAAGATAATAATATTAATAATTGTTTTTATTGAATTGGTTTTTTATCATTGTGGCATCAATCAATGGAACTTGATGGATGGATCAAAAATAATAATATCTAACCTATTATTTATAAATGTGTGAGTTTTGATCTTGTTGGAGGATATCTTAATTTATCACCAAATGATAAATTAGAAAAATTAATAGAAAATTTATATCCTCATTATTAAATCTAAGTATTAATATAACTTTGGAAAATTGATTCATGGAATAATGAAATGTTTTTTTTAGAATTAGATGGTTAAATTTATAATTAAACCATTTTGGGAACTACTGGTGTCTATTCTATTTGTGGATCTACTGGATTAGAAATGATTTTTAATATTAGAATTATATAACCTCATTTATAATCACAATGTAATATAATTATGAGAACTAATCATAATTCTATTACTACAAATGCTTCTTGGGGAATAAGAGCATTTAATATATATCTAGCTAAATGTATTAATGGATGCGATCAATGCATAGGCCCTGTAAAAATTTAATGTACTGGCTGTTCAAATGGATGGGTCTTTTACAATAAAATATGCACTCATCGTATTTATTTAATAAAATAAAAGCACCTCCTATTTTTTATTCATAAATTCAAATTACTTAAGTTAATGATACAAACTCTGATGAAAAGATTCATATGGAGATCAATCTATTAGAAGTTAATTAATAAATTAAAACTTATGGAAATATTACACATTCAGTTTAGAGTAATAAATCAATACTGACAATCCAAGTTTATGCTAAATGTTTTCTGAATAAAAAAATTAATAGCTAACTTTAAATCAATAACCTTTACGGTTCTTAATAATATTAATTTTAACAAAATTGTTAATTGCCTTTCAATTTAGTAATTTATAATGTTGAATACCAATTAAGGATAATTGGAGAATAAGTATTTATAATTGATACATCTGATACAAAATGTTAAATTTATTAAGTAGTTTAATTTGGTGATGAATTTATTCAGTTAAAAATTTTAGATATATTTATTGAAGATTTTTGAATATTTAAATAAAAATCATATCCTATAAATCTATTTTTTCATTTATTTTATAAAAGATTAATGAAAATTTTTGAAAAATCAATCTAGACAGCTAGATGCTTGGTTTGAGTTGTTTAATAAAACAAAAATAAAATCATCTTCTTAATAATTCTTTGATTTGGATTGATTTTACAAAATCAGACCAAATTTTTGCAAAAATAGGCATGCCCAAATGTATTCTTTTAATTATTATATATATAATACTTCCCTAAAAATAATGAAAAACATAAAATTTAAGTCAAATTGAATTTTCTTTATTTTAATATTATTGATAATATATTATTGATTTGTAATAGGATGAAAATTTTAAAATAATATTTTAAATAAATAAATTTATTAACATCAACATCATATTTGTATTCCTATGATAATATGAATAATTTAATTTAAGTTAAAGAGAAACAGCATCCTTTGTAATATTAGAAATTAAATTGTTCGCAATATCTCGATTGAAATATCATTATTATTTAATAATTATATTTAAAATGTAAAATTTAATAACTTTTATTCTTAATTTAAAAGATTCAAAGAAAAATATTAGAAAAATAAAATCTAATATTGGTAAGTACTAACAATTAATAAAATCTTATTACACCTTAAATTAAACTTTTCACTATAAATGTTTATTAATAAATATCTACAATTGAAAAAGAAGAAAATTTTAAAAAGTTCATTTAATTAGGAGCAAAAAATAATTTAAATTAAGATTATTTATAATATACTAAAACACAATTTAATACACAAATTATATTATATTAATCAAATTTTCAAAACAATAAAAAAGCAATTAGAATTACACTTAAATTGAAGAAAAACAAAATTGTACATCAGAAAAGATTCTTAAATTTGAAAATCATAATAAATAATATCTAATAGGTTAAATATTTATTAAAAAATATAAATTGTTTTTCACAATTAATAGTATAACAAGTATCAATCCTTTGAGTATTGTAAATTTATAAAATTAGAAAAAATCCTGTTATATTTTTGCTAATTTTATACACAAATATTATAGCTTTAATTGATTTCAATTCTGCAAGTAGCAAAAAATCAAAAACATTAGCTTTTACTCAATTCTTCAGGAAATAAATTAATGAATTTTAAATCTTAGATGATGGTTTATTTTTAATTTATGAAATAACAATAATTTAAGGTTATAATGAGAAAAAAGAAACTGAACTATTTGAATTTTGAAAAAAATGATTAAATCCTATACAAAAAATAGTCAACGTAAGACTAAAATAAATTCAATGAAGAAGATGTCTTCACAATGATTTGAAAAATATATATTTTAAATTAAATGCTAAAATATTCAATAGGTTTGCGTATCTATATATAATTTAAATTTTGAATAATTACGGTTTATATATTGTGATTTATAAATAAAAATGTAAATTATATTGGTTAATAATGCTAAAGAGTAATTTTATTTCATAAAAAATAAATAGACATCAAAATTCGCAAATATCAAATACTTTAATAGGATAAATCAATTTAAAGAATTATAAATATATCGCTTACAATCATGATATTATTAATGAAAATAAATAAAATTTTAGTAAGGCATTTTTAGACATTCTTTAGTATTCTTATTCAAAAGAAAATAAATAAATTAACAAAAATTTTTTTTGATTTAGAATTTTATTTCAACATTTAATATGTGAAAGAATGAAATTTAAAGATATGTTTAATTAATTTTTTAAATCAAAAAGATAAATTCATTATTATTCTTGAAGCATCCTGACTTAAATAAAATTGGATTTATTATCCCAAGTTACCAAATAATCTCCGTTGGTACTTAATTATCCATAAATACATTAATCTTCAAAATCAATCTATTATTTGACTTAAAAATCATCTTAATCAAGGAATTTAATCAAATGAACATAATTACCATTTTTTGATAAGAAAATTCTTTTATTTGGAATAAACTATTAAGGAAAAAAAGTTCCAAAATCTTCACATCCACTCTTCACATGAATAATTTTTTAGCATTAAAATTGGCGTTATTTATTATCATTATCAAATATCCACAATTCTTCTTTATTATAAGGTTAAAAAGCAAATAAATAATCAGTCAAAAAACATAATCGGTATCCATGAGCAACTGTGATAATCCTTTATTTGATAATCCAATTGGTTTTTTGAGTATATAATTCATTATTTTCTAAAACTAAAATTAGATTGTCATATCCACAAGAGATCAGTTTCATCTAATTTTAACTTAAGCTCAATGCAAATATTGTATCATGTACTACCTGTTATTAGAAAATTTTCTTGAATGTCCATAATTAAGCAGGTTATAGGTACAAAGTGAATAACTAATTTCATAATAAATTTTTAATGACATGTGGAACTTATTGGCCAAAATAAAATTTTCCCCTCATGTCCAGCCGATATAAGTTGATTTTTATGATTAATCCATTTCAAACAATTTACGTCAAAATTGTGTCCCAAAATGCTCTTAAATAATTTAAGATCACCTTGTTTAAATTCATATAATTTTATAATTTCATTACAACCAATCGCTAAGATTGTGCTATTTTAATTAAATGCAAGAGTCTTGCACCACTTATTTTATTAGACTGAATAGTATTTATGTAGTCTATATTAGAAGGTTTCATTCTAAATTTTTTCAGAATTTTATTCATTTTTTTTTATTGACTATTACTAAATATTCATACTTTTTAATTTATTTATTTTAATATAAAATAAAATTCAAATCGTTCCATACTGTTATAAATATATGAAAGAAATTCATGAATAAAAACAAAACGCTTTTGGAAATGAAAGTTCTGTTTTGAGAAGAAATTGAAAACTTGATGAAGTTCTACTTTTATTAAACTATTTACCCATTTAAGAAAAATGCTAAAATAAATCAAAAGAAGAAATTTATACAAGGTCTAATCTATGTTTTAATAATTAAAATTAAGAATTATACAGATCTTCGTTAATGTATATAATTAATTCCTGGGTTGTTAAGGTTTATTTTACAATTATAATATTAAAGACAAACAAATCTAGTGATATTTAAGTTAATAAAATAGATTATTATTTATTCAATTAATTGGTTATACTGGAATATATTTTCAACACAATCATTATTACTTGATTTATAATTATTTTTTAGAAATACTTAATACTAGCTTGCTAATAATTAAAAGAATGGAAAATTTTTATCTCAAATTTTTGCATTTGCAATATTACTTTGAATAAGGTGATCATTTTAAAAGTAGGGATTATCAAAATTTTTGAAGATGGCGTATGTCAGATGTAATATAAAATAATTTAATTATGATAAGATATATTAAATTAGCTAGCTTATGATTATTTAAATTATCAGAGTAATAGATATAAAATGATAGATATAAATACAAAAGAAAAAGAGAATCTTAAGATTAGAAAAAAGAAAGTAATAATTAGAATTCAAATTAGCTGATCATAGTTATACTTATTTATTTAGCCTAAAATAACATCAATAACTATTTATTGAAGCATTTTATCATGAGATTTAAGTTACTGCTATGACTTATATAAAATAAGAACCATCATGTTAGTTCTACAGATATTTAAATCCTATTTTAAGAAAGAACTAAAATTATAATTTTTGGTTTATTTTATAAAGATATTGATCATAGAGAATAATGGTAGAACTTGATATATAAGGAGGATTTATAATCCTAAAACAATCATAACGAATCCATTTTTTAAAGGAAAAGCTATTTTTTCTATATACATTGGTTTTCTGAATATAGGATAAAACACTTTTCACTACCTCTTTATAAATTTATTAAAGAATTTTAATAACTGTTTTAATAAATTGATATAATTAATAATGGATAATAAATATTCAATAATATTATACGAGAAATTGTTTATTGTTTATTATTAAGTGAATTTATCAATATCTATATCTATTAAGAAAGAAAAAAGAATTGTAAATAGAAAACTTGACTTTATGAATATAATAAGAGAATTAGGGAAAGTTAAGATTAAAAAATTAATAATGATAGAGAAATAAAATAAAAATGGAATAAGTAATAAAAAATAAGGATTAGAAAATAATGAAATAAATAATTGTATAGAATAAGTGAAAAGAATGTATGAAATGAATATTAAATGTAATTATTAAAATGGAATATTTAAAGCAATTAAGATGTATA